CAACAACAACCCATTCGTCCCATGAATGCTATCTACAGTTGTCAAGCACCCACCCCATAGCTAAGAATTTTTCCACATTGTGGAGAAATCCTATTCTCTAGGAAGGCAATTCTGCTCAAAAAAGCTCCCACTCTTGCATCAGTGCAGCCCCAAGACCTTCATCGGAGGCATCGGTAACTAAAAAGAACCTGTTCTTTGAGTCACTGTTTTTGTCCAAATGTTATCTCATGCCAAACTGTCCCTTATTTTCTTTCCTGCTACTCAGATGCCAGGTTATTTGATCTGGCTTGTTCTTAGGGAAAAAAAAAAACGGAAGAGTGCAGAATCGTACCATGTGGATTCTTTGATTTTTTGATTTAAAAAAATCATATCTGACCTGTCTTAAGCAAAAGAAGGATTTATTTACTCATGTAAGCGAGATCCAGGGAGTAGGTTTTGCCTCAGGTGTGGCTGATGGAAATGGTCAAATGATGTCACAGGGACCTGGTTTCTCTCTCTCCATCTTTCAGTTCTGCATCTTCCTTCTTGGGATGGCCTTCCCACTCATCGTGACCATACAGCTGCTGCAGCTCAAAGACTACCTTCCTCCGAGGTGTGAGAACAGCAGAAAAGAGAGAATGTCTCTTCATCCAGTTCAAACAAAAAAGCCTGGACCTAACTTTCACCTGTCGGAACTAGGTCAGATGCGCCTCCCTGGCCCAACCACACTGGCCAGGACACAGTTTGGTTTAAACCTAGGTCATATGCTATGCCTGTTGTTAGGGGATGGGTCAGCCTCACTAGAATCACAAGAACATCAAGTAGACATGGAGTAGATTTCTTTTTTTTTTTAACAAAGTAAAATTGACATACAACATTATATTAGTTTCAAGTGTACAACATAATGATTTGATATTTGCATACACTGTGAAATGATTGCCACAATCAGCCTTGTTACCATCTGTCACCATACAAAGTTACAAAATTCGAGTAGATTTGTAAATGAAAATTAAGGACTATTATTAAGAACAGGGTAAATGGATATTAAGCAGCCAGACTCATCATTGTTCACCACAGTCATGTACTAAACTAGCATATACAGGCTCCATATTAACCTCTTAGCCCCTGGGAACTACATGAGTCTTACCTTGGTGTAGATAAACTTGAACTGGTAGAGAACACCTAACTTCTTTGTCATCATGGCCCTTATTCCCAATGTTCTTACCAAAAAATCAGGGCTGGGGCAAGGGTTCTGAGATTAAAGACACACAGACACACACTCACACACACACATACATACACTGCCCATGTATATACGGGTGTGTACATACAGAGAGAGAAAAAGATATTTTTAAGGAATTGGCTCACACAGTTGTAGGGACTAGCAAGACCAAAATCTATACAGCAGGTCAGCAGGCTAGAAACTCAAGCAGTTCTTCCATGTTACAATCTTAAGACAGAATTCCTTCCTATCCAGGAAGCCTCAATTTTTGTTCTTAAGGCCTTCCCATATTATGGAGAGTGATCTCTTTTATTTCAAGTCAGCTGATTGTAAATGTTAATCACATACCAAATACCTCCACAGCAACAGACTGTGGTTTTTGTTTTTTTTAAATACTGAGATTTTTTTTTTTTTAAGATTTTTTTTTTTTTATTTGAGACAGAGAGAATGAGAGAGAGAGCACATGAGAGGGGGGAGGGTCAGAGGGAGAAGCAGGCTCCCCGCCGAGCAGGGAGCCCCATGCGGGACTCGATCCAGGGACTCCAGGATCATGACCTGAGCCGAAAGCAGTCGCTTAACCAACTGAGCCACCCAGGCGCCCAACAGACTGTGTTTGACCAAATAATTGGGCACCACAGTCTAGCCAAGGTGACATAGAAAATTAACCAGCACAGAGGGACGCCTGGGTGGCTCAGTCAGTTAAGCATCTGCCTTTGGCTCAGGTCATGATCCCGGGGTCCTAGGATTGAGTCCTGCCTCGGGCTCCCTGCTTCTCCCTCTGCCTGCCGCTCCTCCTGCTTGTTCTCTCTCTCTCTCTCTTTCTCTGACAAGTAAATAAATAAAATCTTAAAAAAAAAAAAATTAACCAGCACAGTGCTTGAGGTTGATTTGTGATTTCATCCTCATAGGCACTGGATTCCAGCAGGCATTGTCTCCAGCAAGGAACACAGAATGCAGAAGTCAGGTTCCCACCCTGACCTAGGGCCAGGAAAGCACCTTAAAGATAGAAACTGTATGAGGGATAGTGGAGCAGAAAGCTGGGAGGAGCCTCAGTTCTGAGCACCAACCTCAGAACCTCTATCTATATCAGGCTTGGGTTGCCTACTTCCAGACTTCTTTATGAGGAAGACAAAAAAACTTCTGATATTCAAGTCACTGAATTTTGGGGGGTTTCTGCTATATGCAACAGAGCTCAATTCTATGTAATACCAAAAAAAAAAAAAAAACACCTAAGAAAAACAAAGAAAACAACTTGTTTAAGAAAACAAAGGACTAAACAAGGAAGCATTGTCTTATTTATTTTTAAAGATTTATTTATTTAT